CGCGGCGGTTATACACAGTTTTATGAGTCCGTGTGTCCTCTAGGTTTATAAAGAATAGCCTCTTTGGATTCGTAAACAAGAAAATTCCTATTTTATCCATAATTTGACCAATTAAACAACAAAGAAAATGTATCACTGTGCATTATTTCTCCTATCAACATACAACAACTTTACTCATAATAGTTGTAGTGGGGTTGTGGTCATACTGATTGTGTCTAGTCTTTGTAGCGTTTCCAGCTAAGTTTTTGTCCATGTGCCCTCCTTGTGTGCTTTGCAATGTAATAACAACCTTGTGAAATAGAAACATGATGACATTAAATCTCAGCATAACAACCTGATTTTATTCTACATCTGGTGGGCTGGTGTCAAAAATATAATCTGCACCTAGACCTGCAAAACAAGTTACCTTAAGCCTTTAGAAAGACACCCTAGTTTGGACTTCCCATAGATTTAAAAGGTCGGTACAAAAAGTTAAGTGTGGTTAAATTTCTCAATGTTGACCTCAATTTCCCTTCATCCCTCCAGGCCAGATGACTCAGCTATGTGAGTTGATCAACAAAAGTGGGGAGCTGCTGGCCAAAAATCTGTCCCACCTGGACACGGTGCTGGGGGCCCTGGACATCCAGGAGCACTCCCTAGGTGTGCTGGCTGTGCTGTAAGTTTCCACTATAACTTTCTTCTGTCTCAGTTACCACATGACAAGAAATTTTTCTCATAAAGTTTTTTTCCCCTCTAACTGGTCTATTATTATTATCATTATTATTAATATTAATTTTTTTTTAGTAGTTTACATTTTGGTGTTTCACTGCACTCTGCTTTCGTTCTGCTGTTCTTGGCCAAGATATTCTCCTAATGTTGTGTCTATTGAAGGTCACGTTGTACTTTTTGTGTTGGTTGAGGAAGAGGTGGTAGTTCTTTAGAGGAAGTCTCTTGGAAAAATGACAGAGCCAGCTCAGGATTTAGAGGAAAATGAGAGGAAAAGTTGACAGATAATAAGTTCCTGCATATGATGTTCTATTGAAAGGGAATAATCTCTCTCACTTCTTCAAATTGTTTCCTTTCTTTAAAATTTCCACACATTCTCTGCACTATAGCAAATCCTGCACAGACGTGACACTGCTAAAGGTTTTCTGTTGCCTTTACAACTGATAATAAATAACACAGAAATGAAAGCTATTATTTCCTGTTTACAAAATCAATTTCGCTTCTGCTTACCCAACATTGCGTCTGATCGATACATTTCCCTCCTTACTCAAAACTCAGCCCTTTAGCTCTAAATGATTTTTAAAAATCGGCAAACTAATGCTAAGTTTTGGCTAACCCCC